GGTCAACCTCCCCATGAAAAATAATTATGGCCTAGATTTAAATTGGCTTATCATCATTAATAATCAAAATGAGAAAAGACATGAACAATAAATGAAATAATAACAAGTTAATAAAAAATTGACCACCTTTACCAATGAAATTTTCCACACATTGTTGATCATAAACAGAAAATGTTATTATTGCCATAACAAATCATGTGTAGTGATTCATATTTTGTTTACTTTTTATAGACATAAAATTTACTTAATTTATTTGAGATAATCATTATTATTTATTATTATGTTCAAAATATCTTCTGAATAGTGTAAGATATGTTCGAGTGGATTATCTGCTTACTTTTAATCTTAGCAAGCCTCACTATCAAGGAAGGCCAGGGAAGTGAATATATAATTGCTTGAATAGTGCTAAAAAGCTACATTATCTTGCTTTCTATATCACTTGCCTAGGCACCTTTCTTAACAATCTCAGACTGGGTTGATATATGTGAACAGAGTCTTCAATTACCAAAAGGTAAACCTAGTGACAAAACACTAGAACCCTATCAAATTTTGATGAATTTATCTCTAACTGGATTTTCACCACAGCCTATAGCTTATAGCTATCCGAGGCTCCTTAGTACATTTAAACTAGGATTTAACCTCTCAATCCAAGAGTGAAGAAATATACACAATTTAATTAAGGTGTCCCTTAATTAGGATATGTAAATAAATAAATAATTAAGGTAAAGGGTATAGCAAGATTGTTTGTCTTCAATATTATATTTATTTTAAGTTTTATTATTCAAGGTAATTGTTATGTGAGGAAGATTGCTACCAGAGGAAAATGATTCTCTATCTTGCCTCTCAAACTCCTTTCTTTTATACATTATTCAAAAGTGCTTACTTTTGATTACATTCTGTAGAATTAATAATTAGATGTTATACTAATTTCTACTTTTGATACAAAAGAGTCTGAAACTTGGCAGAACCTTCTGAAATGACCTTATGACTTTGCTTATTAACCAATGTTGGGGCATTAATGTGAAATTACCGCTGCCTGCAGTTACCACAATCAATAATATAATATTAATAATTAAAAATATAAATAATTAAATAATAAAATAATACAAAATAAGGATATTTAAATTTATAATGTTTTTCTATTATTCGATTGGTATGTAATAAGAATCCATATTATCGATCTATTTTAACTGTGTTATCTTATTATTATCATAATTCTTCATGTGTTACATTCTGTGTAACTCCCGATTTTTACTATCTTACAATAGATTATAACAATAAGATTAATTATAGTTTATTTATATTTTTATTATTTATATATTATTATGTATTTTTAACATAAAAAGAATTATCTCTAAGAAATAAAGGCAATTTTTATTTTTACAATAATTAAAGGGAATTGTTATTCGTACCCCCATTTTGTTATTCGCACCCTCGTGTGACTAAGTGTAGTAATGTGACCAATGAATAGCTCAGCCAATTAAATTGCTTAGCAAATGACTTGACCAAATAAATTGTTTAGCAAATGGCTTGATTAAATAAATCACTTAGCTCCACAATGGGTCTTCCATGTTCACATCTCATCAGTGAACATATAGCAAATGGCCAAACATTGCAGCAAATTGATATCCATGAACACTGGTAGATCCAAGATCACCATTTTGAATTCTTAGGAGACCTTACATGTCCTGCCAATGGTGACCACACTGATCTTCAGCTTCTTTTACAATCTCTTGCACAACAGTACCAATTCTGGCCATCACACCAACAAGCTGCTGCTCATACCCAATTGGAAGAATTGTCTTCTGCTCCTCCTGATGTACTGGAAAACCCTGAAGTTAGTAAGTCACAAGGAAGACCAATTGGAGCAAGAAACTGAAGCAAAGGATCAATGCAGAGAGATCCATCTGCATTTGAGCTTGTTGAAAGAAGGTCAAGGCAGTGTGGTATATGTTGTCAAACTGGTCACAATAGCCAAATATGACCTAATGTGTAAATAAATCTGTAAAAAAAATTTTTTTTTTAGTAATGTAATAGCATAATGGACACTCATTTGTGCAACAGTCATTTGTATAATAGTCAGGCAGTTACACAGAGCCCGTTGCTTCTGAAACTTCACTAGAATATAGCTGTAGCCTCTCTAAGTCCAGATCATCAGCAAGATCAAAATTATCTCACACTTTTATAATCAAACTTTTGCAAGAACTTTCACCATAACATATGTTATGTTGATCATTTTTTTGTGATCTGCAACAGTGTCCACTATGCTTAATGTAATATGAAATATTTAATAAATGCAATTAATAATAAATAGATATATGGTTTTTGAATGATTTTATTGGTTTATCTTTGTTCTTAGTCACGTGGGGATGCGAATAACAAAAATGGGGGTACGAATAGCAATTCCCTAATAGTCGCGGGACATTGCAGATCAAGTGTCATTCAAATATAAACATTACACGAATAAAATTATTATCATCCACTTCAAAAAAAAAAATCTCCATTTTTCATGTAGCAAGCAATTTTCAACCATAATAAAATTTTTAGAGCCAGACTGGGACTTTTAACAACAGTTAAAAGAAAAGGCCAGCTTAAATATTGGTTATTCTACACCAGGTCAGAAGTGTTTCTTGGTCACAATGCCATCCTTAACCTAGAGGTGGGATCATTGCAGGTGACTTTTCAGCTAGCATGCCAGTGGCCATCTCTGGTCTGGGAAGATTAGTGAAAGTGTTATTGACAATTGATGCAGTCTCAGTTAACTCCAGGGCCTTGCCCCCTGGAATTCAACATCATTGTATCATTGGGAGTACCATGGTCAGATTAGCCTTTCTACACAAGGAATGTGAGAATTACTGTAATATGTTCAAGATAGCGTGCGTGCTTCAACATCTGTAAATTTCTGATAATCAAATGTTGCATATTCAAAATGTTTCTTCTGTAACAGTCAGTCATGCTGCCTTGACATCTTCTTGTGATTATAATATTTATAATAGTATTATTAATATTATTGATTACTAAAAGTAAAACATTATCAATATTATCAATGAAAATCTTGTAATTACCCAACAAGATCTGCTCCACATTTTGATTTCCAATTAAAATTTTATTTATAAATCCTGTGATATGTAATTTACAGTATCAGGCAATTTGTAGAAAGTTAGGAAACCTGTCTGTATAGAGAACAATGGAAAAGGACAAAACCATAGTAGTTTACCAATCATTTCAATTCACTTACCAAATCAGACCAATAATACTCTAAAGATTATGAAAAAATCTTTTATATGTATTTATAGCAAATTTAAAAAACTAAAAATTATTAATTAATTGAAATCATTTTCATCAATCAACTTTGACGAGGTTTCTTATTTGTGTTTGTACTACTACTACCATGAACATCATTAGAATTTTTATGCTTAATTTCTTGTCTTTTCTTATCAACTAGTAATAAACGATGTTGTTAAACTATCATTATTTTTTTAAAAATAAATCATTAAAGTATATACAATACAAACCTTTACAAATCTTTTCTTTGAGTTTATCCCAGTTTAATGTTGATTCATCACTTGCTTCTCCTGGACCTGCTGATTTCATACTAACAGCTTCCTCCTCTTCTTCATAATCACTGCTCTCTGTAAATTATTAAACAAAATAATAAAATGAATTCCAACATTATCTATAATGATGATAATGGAACTTACTTCATTATAATTCTCCTCATTCTCAGTTGGCTCAAATTCACTTACTGAATCTGATTGTGTTTCCGAATCATCATCCTTTTCATCCATATCTAAAAATGACCAACCACCATTTTTATAAAATCCTATTGCATCTTGATTAATATTTCTCATTATTTGTGTCCAACTTAAATCTGGTGTTCCTTCATAATATAAAATATTCATTGAATATAGCCATTCCTTTATGTCTTCTAATTGATTCATTGAAATTCTATTAATATGTTTTGGTGGTTGTGAATAATCTTTGAAAACCAATACCATGTCAAAATTATCTAAACTATATTGTGTTCTTTCTAAATTCACCACCTCTACACAAGCCATTGTTATAATTAAAGAAAGATAAATCAACTAAATGAACAAGACAATTAGTAGTTAGTTCAATAATACTTGGTTTTTAAATGGATTTCCAGAGAATTCAATATCTCTAAAGGTATCAATAGTAATGCCACTCTAAAAAAAAGGATAAAAATGAGAATGAATTTATATATTTCATTCAATTCTCATAAATAAATAATACTCACCCTTATTGAAATGTTTTTAGCAAAATCTCTAAACCACTTATTTATCAACCCTTTACAATTCTCCTCCTCTACCAATTCTTCTTCTTCTTCCTCCTCCCTCAGTTCTTCACATAACCTCTTTACTTCTTCATCCTCATCATCATCCATTTCATCAATTTTGATGTTTTTAACATCTGAAATTTCTTTTGCAAATTGAATATCGTAAAATAAAAATGATTTGTTTGTTATAAGCTTTACAAAAATAAATAAAAAACAAATAAAACTATTATTTTTAAGTAAAAAACATACAATTGATGATGATGTTTCCCCAAATTTGATTGGGTTAATTAAATGAAAGTGTAATCTTACAACCATTTCATTGTCACAAGGTTGAGCAAATATATGTTTGATATTATTGAAGATAATAGCTGAATGATAAATTTATCAGTATTAATAATTGGTATTGAATATATGAATTAATTAAACCATTACCAAGTTCTGGAAAAGCATTAGAAGTGTAATTAAGGCAATTATGGTGGATTTTTAGATTACCAATGACCTTCCTTCCTTCGAATTTTGGCCTTAGATATACTTCACCCAGACTGTAACTTGGTCTTCTCCCTATTAAAAAAAACACAAACATATATATACACTTCCTGGTCATAAATATAAGGACACTTGCAGATCATCAGAAATAATTGAATAAAGAAACATGAAAAAAAATAAAAATTTTATTAACCTAACCGCATTTGCTTATTAAGTAAAAAT